ATATATATATATATATATATAGTATATATATATATGTATATATATGTATATATACATATAATATATATATATGTATATATATATAATTTTTTATATCACCTACGTAATATTTTTTATAATGTATATATATATAATAAACCTTATATATAATATATAATATATATTATTTAATACATAATATATAATATATAGTGCTTAATGTATAGAATCTAATATTCATTATATTATATATAATATTGATAATATAAAAGTAATAAATATATAAACAAACATATATATGTAATATATATATATATATGTTGTTTATATTATATATATTATTTTATTAAAGATAATATTTTGTTTTTATGTTTTTTGTTTTTTCGTGTGGCGTAGGGCAAGCTGTTTACTGCTGCGATGCTGCAGCAAAAAATCCTAGCGGCAGCAAAAAATCCTAGCGGCTGCAGAAAACCCTAAACCCTAAACCCTAAACCCTAAACCCTAAACCCTAAACCCTATTTGATGCCAATCAGAGGCACTGTAATTTTTAAAATTCCAATGCCGCGCCCTAAACCCTCAGGGTTTTTATCTCTTGTCGGTTTCGGCCTGAAACCGAGACTTAGGGTTTAGGGTTTAGGGTTTAGGGTTTAGGGTTTTAATTTGCTTGAAGGCATTTTGTTGCTGAAAAACCGAATAAAATTTTAAAATATTAAATAAATTATCATTGAATCGTCTTTAGCACCCGTAGTAAACCAACAACACCCCAGGACCACCTTAGGGTTTAGGGTTTAGGGTTTAGGGTTTAGGGTTTAGGTTTTGTGTGGGGATTGTCTTTTGTTTTTATGGAGTATAAATTATTAATTTTCCCTTTGATTCTTTGATTTTTAATTCTTATTTGAATTCTAATTCGCTAATACTTGCGGTGTATGCGCACCTCAAGAGCTGCCTATACACCCGAGAGAAGTACAGGGAGTAGAGAATGAGTAAACCTCAATCTGCTGCTTGTGTTGGTTCTTCTCTTTTGTCTTTTTCTTCATCTTCTGCTCCTTCCTTTACCCCTGAAGAGATTGCTTCACTTAAAGCAGGATTAGCAGCACTACGTCAACAAGGGGGCCCCCTCCCATCTGCTGCTGCTGCAGCAGCAGCAGCAGCAGCAGAGCCCGAATCCGCAGCAGCAGCAACAGCAGCAGCAGCAACAGCAACAGCAGAGGATAGGGACTTGGGGGGCTTATTATATAGAGCAGAAGCTGAGGAGACACCTGACTCCAGATTTACAAGCCAGCAGCAAACTTATTCGCAGCAGTATTCTTCTTTATACTTCTCTCGGCTGCAGCAGCTGAGGCCTCATCTACAGCAAACTGCACAATGCTGCTGGGGGCCCCTTCCTATTCATAACGCTATCAAGGATGCAAACAGAGGGGTACCTCAAACACACCATCAAACCCTAAACCCTAGCTGGCGACCTCAGGGGGCCCCTAGGGTTTAGGGTTTAGGGTTTAGGGTTTAGGGTTTAGGGTTTGCCCTGGAGATGTTGGGGGCTCAATGAGGTTTACGGGGTAGGGTCTAGGGCTAAGGGTTTAGGGTTTAGGGTCGACGAGAGAAAGGGCCTTGCTTTGATTTAGGATTTAGGGTTTAGGGTTTAGGGTTTAGGGTTTGTGGTGCAGGAGGAATGCGTTGTGGTGGGGGTTTTGTTTAAAGAAATGCCAGCGAGACCTTCTGTCTTGAATGACTATATAAACACTCTTGAAATACAGGCAAGGGTTTAGGGTTTAGGGTTTAGGGTTTAGGGTTTAGGGTTTGAGGCCGAGAAGAAGGCCAGCAGCTGCTGCAGGCGCTGTCTTTTTCCCCGCTACGCACCCGCGCAAGGGTTTAGGGTTTACCGTTTATAGTTTAGGGTTTAGGGTTTAGGGTTTAGGGTTTAGGGTTTAGGGTTTAGGGTTTGTGGCTCAGACCCCATCTCAGACAATGGAGGGTAAAGAACCAAAACTTTTCTTAGAAGATACAACCGCGCGTATGACGCTTGTACCTGCAGCAGCAGCAGCAGCAGCAACATCAGCAGCAGCAGCAGCAGCAACAGCAGCAGCAGCAACAGAGACAGCAGCATTTTGCTCTTCTGCTTCGAAGGAGCTTCAGATATGCGGGGCGTTAGACATCAATAGATGCGTCACTGGAATGGTAAAACCCTAAACCCAGCAGCAGCAACAGAGACAGCAGCATTTTGCTCTTCTGCTTCGAAGGAGCTTCAGATATGCGGGGCGTTAGACATCAATAGATGCGTCACTGGAATGGTAAAACCCTAAACCCTAAACCCTAAACCCTAAAAATAATAAACCCTCAACCCTAGAAACGATAAACCTCAAACCCTAAACCCTAAAAATAATAAACCCTAGACCGTAAGAACGATAAACCTTAAACCCTAAACCATAAAAATAATAAGCCCGAAGCCGTAGAGACAGCAAACCCTAAACCCTAGAAGCAATATAACGTTAAAACCCTAAACCCTCAAGCAAAGTGTAGCGGCATATGCCCAACCATATATGAGGGTTTAGGGTTTAGGGTTTAGGGTTTAGGGTTTATTATTGCATATTGTACGTCACAGCATGCCTTCTCCTCTTCTTCCTAAACCCTAATCCCTAAACCCTAATAGCTAAACCCTAAACCCTAAACCCTAAAATGTTTTGTATTCAGGTTGTAGCAGTAAGAGGCTTTACCCTGGGCACAGGCGAATTCAACGTCATACAAATCTGCGTTGCGGGGGCCCCCAACCCGGGGGCCCCATCAGGGGGCCCCCAGGAGGGGCCCCCATTAGGGGCCCCTAAGGAAGAGGAAGGGGCCCCTATGGAGATAGAGGGTTTTGATTTAAAAGATAAATATGTTGCATTTGTTTCAGGTATAAATTGTTTGTTTTATTTTATTATTTATTTATTTATTTATTTGTTTGTTTATTTATTTATTTATTTATTTATTTATTTATTTATTTATTTGTTTGTTTGTTTATATTT